GGGAAAAATCAACCGATGAACTTGTATGCATATATGCATAACCCATGGACACAGACAATGGAGTGGTGAGGGCCTGGCCTTGGGGGAGAGGGGTGCGAGTGAGCTGGAAAAGGTTAATGGGGGGTAGGAGGGAGGAGGACCCATGTAATACTTCAACAATAAATATTTTAAAAATAATAAAATAAATACATCCTCACAGAAACACCCAGAATAATTTTTGACCAAATACCTGGACACCTTGTAACCCAGCCAAGAAGACATAAAATTAACCATCACGTTAATACTGGGTAATAGTTTTAGAAGCCAAGATCTGGGAGCTAGAAGTACTCATTTCTATTGGGGTGTCATTGTTTCAAGGCACCATTAGGTGATAGAAAAATATGTATACTATAGTCTAGCCCCTGTATATGCACATTTCTATAAATATTACTATATGTAACCATCTGTCTGTATTAAACTAAACATAACTTCATGCTGATGTCACCAACTCTAATTCATTACTATGCGGATCATTTTAGCCTTCTTTTTTGTTTATCTATAACCTCAAACACAAACAGTGATAAACCTTGCTCCAACCTTCTGCCTTTTACTTGCTTAATTTTTCAATCCCAGTATAGATAAATAGTTTCAGAATTATTAAACCATATCCCCAGTGGGGAAAAAACCTTATCAACTAGAGCTCAGTGTTTATGTACAGCCTTTAGTCTTGCAGATTTCACTTATTTCCAAAATTACTTAGGTCAGTCAGCCTTTTTAGTCCTCACATATTTCAATGAGGTTGCTTTACACATTTGTAATACAGAGAGATTCATTTCACATCATGCATTCCATCCTAGGATTTCTTAACCTCCTGGGTTATCCTTTTTAAAAATTTCTACCATTCAGGTTCATGATATGCTGCAAAATTCTATAAGTTTTTACAAATGCGTAGCATTGTGAATTCACCATTCCAGTATCATACAGAAGAGAACCCTCCCCTAACCCCCCCTTCTCTGTGCTTCACCTATTTAATCTTGCCTTTCCATATAGACTTTAGAATTAACTTGAATCTTTAGAATCTACAAAAGAGATTGCTGGACTTTCAATTGAGATTGTGTTGAATCTGTATAGCAAATTGGGAAGAATTGATATTTTAACGATATTAAGTCTTCCAATTCATGAAGGAATATCTCTTCATTTGTTTATACCTGTGATTTTCTTCATCAGTATTTTACAATTTTCCACATATAAATTATCTACATAGTTTGTTATATTTATACCTAAGTATTTAATCTTTTATTAAAAAATTATAATTTCATTTTCAGTTCTTCATTGCTGACATAATACAAAATAGATTTTATATACAGAAGTTCCCCCTTATCCACCCATGAGTTCAGTTACCCACAGTGAACCATGGTCCTAACTATTAAATGAAAATTTCCAAAAATAAACAATGCATAAGTTTTAAATTGCATTCTGTTCTGAGTAGGCTGACAAAATACCATGCTGTTCCACTCTGTCCCACCTAGCATGTGAATCATTCCTTTATTCAGAGTATCTACACTGAACATACTACTGGCCCATTTGTCACTTAGTATCTATCTCAATTATTAGATCAACTGTCACAATATTACAGTGTTTGTGCTCAAGTAACTCTTATTTATAATGGCCTCAAAACCCCAACCAGTGATTCTGGCAATTCAGATATGCCAAAGAGAAGTCATAAAGTACTTCCTTTAAGTGAAGAGGCATATACTGGTATGCATAGGAATAAAATATAGCATATCTATATTTATCTATCTATCTCTATCTATCTATCTATCTATCTATCTATCTATCTATCTATTTATCTATCTACCTATCTATCTCTCTATCTATCTATCTCTCTATGGTTTGGTATTTTTTATGGTTTCAGACATCCACTGAAGGTCTTAGAATTTATCCCTGTGGATAAGGGGGGACTACTGTACTGGCTTATTATTTCCAGGCAGTTTTTTTAAAAATATATATTTTATTGATTTTGTACAGAGAGAAAGGGAGAGAGATAGAAAGCTAAAAACATCGATGAGAGAGAGTCATCGATCAGCTGCCTCTTGCACACCCCCTACTGGGGATATGCCCACAACCAAGGAACATGCCCTTGACCAGAATCGAACCCGGGTCCCTTCAGTCCCCAAGCCGACGCTCTATCCATTGAGCCAAACCGGTCTCGGCTCCAGGCAGTTTTTGATAATGTTTTCTTGATTTTCTCCACAGGCTATTATAGCATATGATAATAAAGACATATTTATTTCTTAATTTCTAACCTGTATGATATTTATTTATTTCTCTCATATTATTATACTAGTTAGAACTTACAGTAATATATATATATATATATATATATATATATATATATATATATATATATATATATATATATAATAGGCTAATATGCAAAATGTCCCCTCAGGAATTTGACTGGGAGACTGGGAGTTCAATCGTTCACTATGATGTGTGCTGACCACCACAAAATGAAGGAAGGCCTCAGGCAACATCTGGAAGGCCCCTATTGTCCCTGATTGCTGGCCAGGCCTAGGGACCCTACCTGTGCCCAAATGCACTGGGCCTCTAGTGTTGAATAAAAGTGGATAGAGAACACATACTTACCTTGTTCTCAATCTCAGAAGGAAAGGAGGAAGTCCTCACTAGAAAGTGTGTGTTCTTTATTAAGATGAGAAAGTTGCCCTCTATTCCTTGTTTGCTGAGATTTTAAAAAATCATTAACGATGTTAGATTTTGGCATATACCTTTCCTGCATTTATTAATACAATCAGATGATTTTTCTTCTTTAGCCTTTTGCTATGGTAGGATATACTGGTTGATTTGAATGTTGAACCACCCTTGCATATCTGAAAGAAACCTCACTTGGTTGTGGGATATACTTCTTTTTATGCATTGTAGGATTTAATTGATAATACATATTTTATTGGGCATTCTCATGTCTACTGGTATGTCCATAAGAGGTATTGGGCCGTAGTTTTTTCTTTCTTGAAATCTCTTTATCTAGTTTTGGTATTTAAATAATGCTGGCCTCATAGAATGAGTTAGAAAGTGTTCATTCTGCTTCTCTTTCCCAGAAGAGATGGTCAAAAATTGGGACCATTTCTTTTTTACATGTTTGGTATAATTAACCAATGAAAATATCTGGGCTTGGTGCTTTATTTTATAGGAGGTTATATATTATTTATTCAATTTCTCTAATAGATATAGGACTATTCGTATGATCTATTTCTTTCTTTAAGTTTTGTATCTTTCAAAAAATATGGCCTATTTTATATAAATTATCAATTTGTCATGTAGTTGTTTATAGTTTTCATTTATGATAGTTTTAATATCCATATTCCATTTTAAGCCTCTTTTGTGTATTTCTATATGCTAGATAATTTGCCTTATTATTTTATTTCCATTACTAGAGGCCTGGTGCACAAAATTCGTGCATGGGGGGTGGGATCCCCCTCAGCCCAGCTTGCACCCTCTCCAATCCAGGATTTCTTCAGGGATATCCGACTGCTGGTTTAAAACTGGCAGTCAGACATCCCTCTCACTCTCTGCTTTATTTAGCAATACAAGTGAGCAATACAACTGGCTCCTAACTGCTCACCTGCCTACCTGCCTGGTCCCCCTAACTACCCTCCCTGCTGGCCTGGTCACCCCACACAGCCTGTTGAGTTGTCATTTTGATTGTTTCAGCTTAAGCTTTTATATATAGATTCTTTGTGGATATGCAATAAAAAGTGTGGTGAGTGGGCTTACACTTTGGAAACCAGTCATCAAATATCTGCTTTTTGGGGGAATTCTGGGCAAAAACTAAATAGGTGCCAAAATGAGAGGCTCCCTATGTTGTTGGAGGAATGGTTAGAGTTGAACACAGCAAGATTCTGACAGAGCAGGATCCAGAAATACCCTCTACAAATTAGCTAAGTAAAAAAAATGTTTGTGGTATAAGAACCTGCAGATTAGGGACCAAACAAACAAACAAAAGAAACACAACAAACTGGAAACAGTGACTGCCCTCAGGAAGCAAAAGCTTACAGAACACTGTTGACCTGTGTCTGAATTTTCCATATTTATTCATAGAAGTCAAAGCAGGTCAGGGCATACCTGAGAGAATGTGGGACCCTCTTTGGAGGCACAAAGACATCGACTTCCTTGAGTCTCTGTGACAGGTTTACAGTATAAGTGGGTGGGAATTACCATTCTTGTTTTGCCTTTATACTTCAAGAAATCAACATCTGAGCTGTGAGTCTGAATCATGGGAACCTTAATTAGATCAGCTCTAGTGTTTACACTTTTTTCTGTTATAAAGATTATTGGGATTCACATCTAAGGTGTACAACATCCTAAATTTGCTCTACTTTCTCAGGATATATCTCCAGACATGGAATACCAGTAAGGAGTGGGCAACCTACTTTACTCAGGGCTTCATTTTTCTTGATTACTAGTATATCAAAGTGCTGTTTATTGAAGTTCTCTAAAGAAGGGGGGTGAGGCACATGGGGAATGGGAGTCTCTTCATTCATGAAAAGGAATTTGTCAGATGAAACAGCTCAAAATCCATTGGTGACAAATCAAGGCAGCATAAAACATGCATTATAATATACATCTGCTTTATTTAGCAATTCAAGTGAGAAATATCAGAGAAAACATAGCAGGGATACAGACTGTACATTCTAGAACTAGTGACTTGTGCTTTCATGACCACTGTGTGGAATATGAGAAATTCCTGGGCCAGTAGAAAGCAAGAAGTTGCCCTGTTCTTAAGTCCGACCCAACTAGTAACCTTCTGATGGTAAGCAAATGAAGTTCAGATGGAACAGGTATGAGAAGAGAGGAAAAGTGAGGGAACTTAGCAACTTCAGTTCTAACTCTAGGACTAAGAGAATTAAGTAGCAAGGGGGGGAAAAGCAAACTGAAGAGGAGGCCATGCAGCTGGAGAAGAGGTCTAAGACAATGTGGGACCAAGAGCCAATGGGAGGCCTTCAGTGGTTGTAGCCCTTCCTGCTGGAAGATGTGGTGGTGCTGTATTTGATGGTGGAACTGCTGCCCCCAACAGAGCTGAGGCCACCTCCAAAGCCTCTGCCACTGCCAGAACTGAAGCCACCTCCAAGGCCGTGACCACTGCCATAGGAGTAGCCGCTGCCTCCGCCCAGGCCAAAGCCACTGCCAACACCACCGGCACTGCCATAGCCACTGGAGACGGTGGACTGCACCACAGCTGTGAAGGGGAGGGGAACAAAAACACACAGATATGGTGAGCTCATTCTGCCAGCCCGAGCCAAGTTGAAAGTACTCAAGGGTAAGGGAGGGAGGCAAGCAATGATACTTACAGATGTTGACTGGTCCAACACCTTCCCCACTCAGCCTAGGAAGGAGGAAACACAGAGACCATGAGACCTCAGAGAACCACCACTGGACCAGTGTGGGAAGCCTCCATGTGAGGACCACCCATGGGAAACTGCCTTTTCCATGGTTCTCTGAGAGTAGTAATTATGACCATCACTAGGTGCTTTACATTTGTGTTCACTGGCTGCACATCATGGAGAAGCACCCAGATGACAGAGGAGGTTGTAAGTTGCCCACCTGCACTCCTCGCCTTCCAGCAGCTTCCTGTAGGTGGCAATCTCCACGTCCAGGGCCAGCTTGACATTCATCAGCTCCTGGTACTCCTTTAGGAGCCGGGCCATGTCCTGCTTGGCTTTCTGCAGGGCATCTTCCAGCTCAACCAGCTTATTCTTGGCATCCTTGAGGGCCATCTCCCCACGCTGCTCAGCATCAGCAATGGCGGCCTGCAGGCTGGCGCACTAGAGGGAGAGATAAGCAGAATGAACTTGCAATCTAGTCCTCCAGAGGAGACTAGCTGTGGTTCCTATTTCCCAGTGAGGAAAAGAGCCAGAGCCCAGATGGCATGGAAATGCAGCTCAGACCCTTTCTATCCAATCTTTGTCCAGTCTGCAAACCTTATCTAACTTATGATTCATCTGAAAAAACCTGTGCCCCTTTGTATTAGTTACCCTGCATGAGAATGTGGGGGCTGACTGGTGGAAGGTACTACAGCAGATACACATCAGGGGACAAAGGAAGAAATGTACCCACCAACTTGTTTTGAATCTTGACAGCTTTTGATAATCTCATGTAGCAGCCACACTAATTTGTACAAAATCACATTCTCATGGAGGTGATGTGATTCTTCCACCTCACAATTTTAGGCGACCCTGGTCTTTGCTTGACTGTCATTTTTTTGACCTTGAATCTTGCACCAATCTTCCTCACTTCCTGGCCTGCCTTTTCTTTCCTAGTTTCCTCCATTCAACTGTTCTCATGTCATCTCTGGTTAATGCTTCCAGACTATATTGTACAGCTCTAACAGGGAAAACTGGTTTTGTCCACCTGTTTCTATCATGCTCTTGAGTTGGGATCCATCTCAACTACCCGTGAGAACTCACTCAGGGTAGACACTGCATGCTGTCCTCTCCCTATTGTTTCCCAAATTCCTTTGAATCACAAATGATGGTTAATGACCACGTGGTGGTCTAGCAAGGAAAGGATGCTTTTATTTCCTTAGTCCCCACCATACCTGTTTCTTGACGTGGTCAATCTCAGATCTCAGCCTCTGGATCATGCGGTTGATCTCAGCAATCTCCTGCTTGGTGTTGCGCAGGTCATCCCCGTGTCTGCCAGCTGTGACCTGAAGCTCCTCATACTGTAGCAAAAAGGGGAGAAGCTGATGTATGTGGGCTTTCACATGTTAACAGTGTCACACTGTGTCAGGCTTTTTAATAAATTAAGCCTAATGGCTTCTCCAGAAGGGATTTTGAGAAATGCTGATGTTACTAGGTCATTGGATGCTCTACACTAACCTCAGACCAACCTTGTCATGAAACCACTGCCTTTCTATTTCTCTTCAGAACCAGCAATGTCCTGCACTAGTTTTCTGAGAGTCAGAATCGGTGTGAAGCTAAAGCAATGAGCACTAGGTTCTTATCTACATTAGTTTTCCTCTTGCTTGGGTTTCTTTGACTTACCAGAATTGCACATAAATAATGTAAGCACATACTCTATCAGTGCAAAGTACACATTCAGGTTCCTACAAGTACATTTTCCCTGTGGAAGCTGGTAGCCTTATAGGTGTTGAGGTAATGAATGCAGGAATTCATCAGCTGCTGCCCAGTCACTGCTCACCTTGGTTTGGTACCAGGACTCAGCCTCAGTCCTACTCCTCTGAGCAATCTCTTCATATTGGGCCTTGACTTCAGCAATGATGCTGTCCAGGTCCAGGTTACGGTTGTTGTCCATGGAAAGCACCACAGAAGTGTCTGAGATGTGGGTCTGCATCTGAGCCAGTTCCTGTAGAACATAAGATGGTGAGATCATTTTCTCCTGTAACGTTTACAGGCTTCCCAAGCCCAATATCTTCAACCCTTTTGCAGAGCCCCATTAGAGTAACTCAAACAAAGGTGTTGATGCTTACAGCTTCATAGAAGGCTCTGGTGAAGTTGATCTCATCCATGAGAGCATCTACCTTGGCTTGGAGTTCAACCTTATTCATGTAGGCAGCATCCACATCCTGGGGAATAAGCCAACACCCTGGAGTTAGCTGAGCCCTCCTTCCCCATCTGCCCATCTTTTAGCCTCCCCACCTCTTGTCTTCTCAGATGTGAGGAGGACTCTAGATTTTCCTCCTTCGGAAAAGAAACATGAACCCCTGGTTGTAATCAGCTCACCTTCTTCAGAGTCACAAATTCATTCTCTGCAGTGGTGCGCTTGTTGATTTCATCTTCATATCTAGAGTGAAAAAGGCATACGTCAGTGGTGACATTGATACAGAAAAGGCAGCCTGGGTCATAACTTTCCATAAAGGATATGTCAAAGTTCAGATTTCTTGACAGTAAGCCTCAAAGATTATTTTCTGGTTTCTAAGTTGTTTCCTTTTTTACTCTCCCTATCCACCCATATAGCCCTTTTTTTCTTTCAGGTTTGTTTTAAGCAACAATTATGATTTTTATTTTCATGGACATGTTTTGCGATTGATCATGGCCACACGTGGACCTGGACACCCAATGGTCTTAAAGTGTGCGCTTTAGACAACTGAACCCATATCTCTCCTTAACTCACTTGCTCTTGAAATCCTCCACCATGTCCTGCATGCCCCTGAGCTCTGAGTCCAGGCGGCCTCTCTCCCCAACAATACTGTCCAGCTGTCTCCTGAGGTTGTTGATGTACTGCTCGAACAAAGGCTCCAGGTTCTGCCTCACGGTCTTGGTGCCCTGCTCCTGCAGCAGGGTCCACTTGGTGTCCAGGACCTTGTTCTGCTGCTCCAGGAAGCGCACCTGGAAGAACACAATTTGGTTATTTGCCTGATGAATGATAGAAAGAAAAATGTGTGCTGGGCTACTACAGAGTGCCTAAGGGTGTATGTGACAGTCCTGCTTTTCTCCCCCCTCTCCTCCCCTCCCCATCAATCTCACCACTGAAAATTTCCAAAGGGCACTGAGATGCTCTCACGCCCTAATTTATGGAAACTTAACAGTGACTGCCAACATTACTTCTTTTTCTCTTGACAAGTATAATCACTCATCTAGTTTAAAATGATATATTGCACAAAGCTTTTTAAAAAGATAATACCTCGTTAATAGGAATGTTAAGTTTTAGAACCTCATTACTAAATTTTAATCTTATTATGATTATATTACAATCTAAGTTTCATTTAGTACACGTCTTTTGTAAAACAAGCTTCCTCAATGGTCGCTACTGTGTCCTTCAAATTTAGTATTTCAATGGATATGTGGTGGGGTTTTTTTTGTCCTTTTTTCTAAATCATGCAGAAATATATTTATTTTTATTTTCCTGTCACATTTTTTCCTCTTGCCCAGAGCCCTAGAGCAGTTTTCCACTGGAATTTTATTTTTAATGTCTTAGATTCTTCAGAAGGTAATGCTAACTCTTTCCATTTTCTCATTGTTTTCCCTTTGTTCCATGGATATCAAAAGTTGAGAATTCTTCCTGGACAGGAATGAGACACATTTAAGAAATTCAGCAGTTCTAAATGATTTCCATCTCCTTTTGCCTGTGGTCAACATGGAACTAATCTGGCATCCCAGGAAGGACACAGTCTGAGTCCCTTTTTCCCTCTACCCTAGTCTCCCCCTGAGAAACATGTGTTGGTTCTCTACTTTGGAGACTCTGAGTCCCCACTGGAGGACAGGTCCTCTGGCTTACCTTGTCAATGAAGGAGGCAAACTTGTTGTTGAGGGTCTTGATCTGCTCCCGCTCCTCAGTCCTCACCCGCTGGATGGTGGGGTCGATTTGCAGGTTCAGAGGAGTGAGGAGATTCTGGTTGATTGTGACCTCTTGGATGCCTCCAGGGGGGCACACAGGGAAGCCAGCGCCCCCATAACCACCAGCAAAGCCAGCTCCACCACCGAGCCCAAGGCCACCACCATATCCACCGCCATAGCCAAATCCACTCCTGGCTCCACCTCCAAAGCCAAAGCCACCTCCAACTCTGCCACCGTATCCTCCACTGATGGCACAGCTGCCACCTCCGATGGAAATCCTCTTGGAGCCCCCCAGGCTATAGAGGCTCCTGCTGCCAAAGCCAGCTCCTCCACACACTCCACCGAGGCCTCCACTGCCCCTGGAGCGAGACACAGAGACACTGCTGAAGCCAGAGCGGCAGCCCCCAGGGACTCTGGCTGAGCTGGCACTGAAGCCACGGTGGCTGCTGCTTTGGGTCCTGATGGTAGATTTGCTCGACATGGTTCCTGAAGATGAGAAGGCTGAAGGAGGCGAGAGAGGCTGGAGGGTAGAGCTGAGAGCAGCAGGTGTGTGATGCGTTGGCAGGCAGCAGTTTATATATAGTGGAAATGGGCTGGGCTCAGTCCTGGAAGGTGAGCTTGCAGATTGGGGAGGGTTGGGCTTTACAAATAGTGAGGTCACCCCCAGCACCTAGAAAGGTATGAAATGTGAACATTTTATATTTGGCTTCCTTTATTCATGGAGAAATTCTCCTGCCCTCCAGCCTTGTCTTGATCCCCACACAATAAGGTTGGATATGAATTTACTGAAGTCATGAATTAGTCATGATCTCAAACAAAGGAGACAAGGCACTGATTTGTGTAATTGTATCTTCCTTCTGCTTACTCAGCCACTCCTCTGTGTGTCCCCTTCCCACACAGGTTTTCTGCTCTACCAGCACCACCCTTCTCATCAGGGTGGGACTGTCTCTGAGGGTTCACAGGTATTTGCTCAATGCCCTGAGCAAGAAGTGGCCTGCAGTGTTTTTTTCCATCTCGTTTGAACCTGCCCTTCTTTTGGGAGCTGTTGCATGTTGTTCCTGGTGGCCTTGTCATGGGATGGGGAATACTTTGGAGTTAAAACTTTTCTTTGTAAGGTAAGAAGGGCAAAAGTGTTGCGCCTTTACATTATAATTGCTCTCTGTCCTATTCCATAAGCTTCCCAATTGCTACTTTCCCGAGAGGATAAGAACCTTCACCCAAGGCTACTGTGCCCAGAGACAGAGACATTTCTGCACGGAGTTTCACTCCATGCCTGTACCTCCCTCCCAAAGTGTGCTTTTCCATTGAACTGGTGAGCATGTCAACTTGTTTTTCCAACTGGAATTCTCTGCTGTTTGCGAATGTTCACTTAGACTTTAACTTACAGAATCTAAAATGAGTAGGACAAAAATTAAGAAATTCACTAAATTTTGATTCCCACAGATTTTGATATTTTTTTAGGGTTGAAGGATCAGACATCTTAATGGGTGTGGAGAGAACATTGAGGGGAATATAGAAGCAGTGAATCATAAAAATGTGCCCTTACATGTGTGATGCTGTCACAAGTAAATTCCAAGTGTATATTTCTAATCTCAGCTCTTGAAATCTTAAATCTCTACACATCTTCTTAGAGGAGAGAAGGCTGTCAAATGAGTGGTGTGTTTTGTTTAGAGTGCTCATTTTTTTTTTCAGTGCAGACATTAAAAACTGAGTGCAATGAGCACTGAGAGCAATTATAGGCATGTTGTTCTATGAAAACATATGTTTAAATGGGAAACCAGGGGAAGAAAGACAAACTCCCACACTGGGGTGACCTGAGGACAGGACCTGGTACTATTTTATAAGCAGTCCCATCTTTCCAATGTTTTCAGGGACACAACATCCAGGAAGACAGGGCATTTCTTACTCAAAGGAGGTGCTAACTCAGCGTCTGGGTGGAAAGAGATACCTCCTCAAGAAACGGAAGAAGCTCCCCTCCCTCCACCCTGGTTGCACAATGGTTGACCAAGAAATGTGTTGTCACCAAGTTCTGGGAAAGAAGCGTTCCTTCCTGTGGCACTGAGCTTTGATACATGCTACTTTTCTTGGGCCTGAGGCTTTAGGTTTGGCACAGATGATATCAGGTGGGGTAGAAAGCGTTGGGAAGTCAGGTGGGAGCAGCAAGCATTTGCCCACTGTTTTATGTCCACATCAATGCCCATGGCTACTTTCACACTGTGATGGCAGGGTTGGATGGTTGTAACAGAGAATGTATGACTCGCAAAGCCTAAAGTACTTTCTATTTGGCCCTTTCAGGAAAAAGTCTGCCTCCCAGTCGGTGCAGCTCAGTGTTTGACTATTGAGCTCTAGACCAGGAGATCATAGTTTGATTCTGGTCAGGGCACATGTCCCAAGGGGTTGCAGGTTCAACCCTCAGTAGGGGGCA